TCGGCTAACTTGTCCGTCTCGTCATTACACGAACATAAATTAACAAGTTGTTATGCTGCCGCTGTGACTGATGAAGTGGAGAAAGTAACAGCAGATATTAAATGACTAAATTATGATATTTGCTCAGGTGGATGCTGGGGTCTTATCTATCAGATTGCAACGTATATCCATTTTGTTAATTAACATTACATATAGTGCGCGTCTATTTAGAGTTAAGCCAGTCGGCATGGTAGCCAAGGCTCACATAGTCGTAGGCCACTATTGTTAAGCCGGTCAGCGTGGTAGCTAAGGCTCACATAGTCGTAGGCCACTATTGTTAAGCCAGTCAGCGTGGTACCCAAGGCTCACATAGTCATAGGCCACTATTGTTAAGCCGGTCGGCGTGGTAGCCCAGGCACACATAGATAGTAATACTTGATATTAAACCATAACAACCATATATTGTGTGGTTCACATGGCTCTTCGGAGCAGCAGCAGTACAAATGTCTTGGCGATAGATCTGCTTTGTGGGGGATGTCTTGTCTTGTCTGTTCATCTTCATGTGTGTGGATACGTGCATGTCCACTGATGCAGCAGTTTATCCTTATATTCAGCAGCATGCATATATTGGCTTGTATTGTTTTGTGTAACATGTTGTCCTGCTTTGTGGGGGGTTATTCATATGCGTTATATGTGCAGCAGCAGTATTTCTTACATGCTCACAGCAGCATGTTGTGGATGTATTGGCAGTAGCAAGTCTCGGTACTTGCTCTGCCGCAGCAGCAGCAGCGTAGCAGATCTATTCCGCCAAGACCAAATACATTAACATATATATATATATATATATATAACAATCATTACATCTATATATGTAAATGTGTAACAGTGTTATATATATATATATATATATATAACAATCATTACATCTATATATGTAAATGTGTAACAGTGTTATATATATATATATATATATATAACAATCATTACATCTATATATGTAAATGTGTAACAGTGTTGTGGTTAACATACAATATATAGACAAAAGTTAAATATAACATTGTTGTTTGTAATCATAATTATTTTTATAGTTATATATATATCATATAAAATAATATAGGTACATATATTATAGAATAGTTGTATGCTTCCCAGTAATGTTTATTTAGAGCAAATCATTGTGAAATATAGTTGTTGATAATAGTAGATTATGAGATATGATAAATGATTTCATAATCTTGAGTGTTATTGCCAGTTAACACAAATCTCTGTATATTGTTTGTATGACACAGCTGTGACTTTGACCCTGGTGTTAAATGGAATTTTCACTAATGCAATCAAGCTAGTCGTGGGCAGGTGAGTGAGTAATCTAAACTTCTTACAATGTTAACTTTGCACTAGATACTTTTATATTACATTTGCACATCTCCCATTGACTGCCTTTGAGTACAGAAAAACGAACCATTTATTGAAAGCCTAGAAAAGACTAGTAAAGGAGACTTGATAGCCTCAGGCCTAGTTCTTTTTCCTGTTAAACTTAATTTCTGCCTCCCTGCCAGGCCACGACCTGATTTCTTCTACCGTTGTTTTCCGGATGGCCAAATGAACCCAGAGCTTCACTGTAGCGGTGACCCGGATGTAGTGATGGAGGGCAGGAAGAGCTTTCCAAGTGGACACTCTTCCTGTAAGAGCAGTCACCGGGTTTATTTAGTGGCACTTTTTACAGTCACCATGAAACACTATTTACAAAGTTTTGCATCTGTAATCTGACATTTCTGAAATGAGAAAAGTGTAAAATGGGACTTTTGTCTGCCTGAAATTGATTGGATTGTAAAAAGTATTTTTTGTTTGTATTTTATTTGAGTAAATGGCACAAATGCGTCAAGCACAATAAAACTGAGAAGATGTTAGAGGTTAATAGGGGTCATTTTGATATTATGTGGACTTTAAACTTATTTATGCCCTAAATACAATCAAAATTATTCATTTTTATAATCTGTATTAAAATTGTAATCTTTATTATTTTAAGTACATTTAATTAAAAAAAAAGCAATTTAATTACATTATAATTACCGCTTAAAAGTTTGAAGTTGGTAAGATTTTTTTTTAAGTTTCTTATTCTTACCAAGACTGCATTTATTTGATCAAAAATGCATTACAACCAGTAATATTGTGATTTTTTTTTTTTTTTAGTTTATTCCTGTGATGCAAAGCTAAATTTTTAGCATCATTACATCAGTCTTCAGAAATCTAATATTTGAACGTTCAGAAAGATCAAAGGAACAGACAATAGAATATATATATATATATATATATATATATATATATATATTTATTTATAAATAAGGTGACCTTGTTAAAAACTTTTTTTTAAATATATTTTCAGCCTGAAACGTTTGAATAGTAAAAATACAATAGAATAAAATGCAGTTTTATATTCCGCTACCTGCGACTCTAAAATCATTTTATGTTGTCATAGTTGCGTTTGCTGGTCTGGGCTTCACTGCCCTGTACTTGGCTGGGAAGCTGCACTGTTTCAGCCCAGTAGGCCGTGGTAAAGCCTGGAGGTTGTGTGCCTTCCTCACCCCCCTCCTCTTCGCCGTCATGATCGCCCTCTCCAGAACATGTGACTACAAACATCACTGGCAAGGTGAGATTTTCATACCCTCATCACAGCCCTACCTTCATGTATGGTTTCAAAGCAGTGACATGATCTCCCGTTCATTCCCAGATGTGTTGGTGGGATCCCTCCTCGGTTTGGCCTTCGCATACTTGTGTTACAGACAGCATTACCCAGCTCTCAACGACTCAGACTGCCACAGACCCCTCCGAATGAGAGAGGCCACGGTTCCTGCGCAGGAACGCAAGCAGGCCAACCCAGGCTACCTCTTACCTTTGTAGAAACTTAACCGGACCAACAACCATATATTGTGTGAATGTTTACCAAGCTATTTGCTGCGATTATGTCACGCCTGTCAATCAACGAGCACTTCTTGTTTTTGCCTTCCTATACCGTTTTAGACATTCACAGTGAATGTTTTGTGTATTGTAGAGCACAAATGTCTTTGAAAATTTGTATCTTATCAAGCTCTTTGACGTTTATATGTGAGCTATCCTGGTGAAGAAATATCTGAAAACCGCTTCTAGGTCAATTTTAAAACGTTGCAGACGTATTTATAGAGATCCCCAGTGTATCCATATAGGAAATCCCCTGATATATTTGTCAATAAAGTTTGTGACAATTTCTAATGTATTGGCTGGATTGTGATCTGATCATTTGACGTTTTAGCGTCTGTCAACACTGTAGAAGATTGCTTGCTATGAGGAGAACTTTGCTCCAGATGTTATCTGTCTCTAGATTAGATTAGATTAGCTAGTGCCTTGTGGAACATCACTCTGGGGAATCTGCTGGAAGTGAGTCAATGATGTTGTTTAATTACATTTTTTCTCTGTAAAAAACTATTAGTAATGTTTGATCAATTATTATCTGACATAAAATTAGCTTAGTATGAACTAGAGGTGTCTTGCACTTTAACCAGCAATTAAACTCATAAAAGGAATGTCATATTTTTGATATGTAGTTTAATATTCAATTCATTTTAGCAAAAACTTTAATGAATTGGTTTTATACCAAGAACATTCCACATTTTGCATGCAGCCATTACATAATTTTCTAAATTACAGAAATGAAACATCCAAGAAAAAGCATAATTTGTATCCTTGATACAACATGGAATACACGTTTTCTCAGTTTTTATACAAACTGAACATTTGTCTCAGTTACACAAATTATTGAAGAAATATGTGGGATTATAAGAAATATATGGGATATTAAGTTTGTCAATAACTACAAAACATTTTCCCCAAATTTTTAGAGGGAACCAAATAACAATATTATTATTTGTAAAAATATCCTACAGAGATTTATTTTCTGTTTTTTGAAGGGGACCTATACAGAAATTTCCTTACAGGTTCATTTTAATAACCAAAAACTAATGTTCCCATAATGGTCTGGGGACCAAGAATTGTTAACTGAGAGGCTCATAAAACCCTGAAATTCTTAAGAAAAGAAATGTGTAAGTAGTTAGGAATTGTTTGTAATCATTTTTTAAATTTGCGAACTACTATTGAGTAAAAGCTTAATTTTGGCAAAATTTGCAACCTGTTTATTGCAACTCTGGTGTAGATTTTATTCGATATAAGGTATAAATGTCTATAAATAATAATAATTTAAACTGTATTTAGTCATTGCAATAAAGTGTTGTGAAATTGCAAACCCGAATAGAAAATAAAACCGCTTTAAACCGAATGATTAACTTTATTTGGACAACTTTAAAGGCAATTTTTTTTTTCAATATTTAGATTTTTTTGTACCCTCAGATTCCAGATTTTCAAATAGTTGTATCTCAGTCAAATTTTATCCTATCCTAACAAACCATACAATGGAAAGTTTAATTATTCAGCTTTCAGATTATGTATTTTTTTTTTTTTAAATTGACCCTTATGACTGGTTTTGTGGTCCAGGGTCACATATTTCCGTGATTTAAGATCATGATTCTAAAATGTGGAAAATAGTAAAAATGAACAATGACGAGTGTGTGTCCAGTGTGTTGAATTTCCTTGTCCAACAATTGTTTCAATATTTAATGTTACATTAAAATGGAAGTTCATTCACCACTGTGGATTTTTTAAAGGGGTCATATGATGCTGCTAAAAAATATCTCTTTGGATTTGAGACTTTAGTCTTTGCAACTTTACAGATCTTCTTTATGCACCAAGAGCTTGTAACACTCCAAAGAGAAAGGAAAAATTGAAATCGCATCATATGACCCCTTTAAATATAAACTCTAAAGGAAACATGTATTGTGCAACACACTGAAAAGTGAGTCATTTATTACTCTTGAGTTCACTGCGCATGTGTTGATGAGCATCATAATTTCAGGTTGATTGACTCGTAATAACCCACATCACACCATAGTGAAATGCCGTCGCTGTTTTTGATTGGTGCTCATTTCAAAATTCCCCCTTTTAGTCGACCTTTAGACACAAAGACCACGTATAAGATTTCAGCTCCTGGTAGATGCATTTACCTCGGACTTGACCACCACAGTGAACAACTGTGTGTGAGAGGTTTGCTCTCTCTGTCAGAAGTCAGTTTTGTCCTAAGCGTGTATCCGTACGCGGATCCGGTGAGTAGATGGCGATACATTATTACGCTTTTCTCTGTATTTGTTACATTTGTCTCAGGCTCGTAATACTTACAACCAGTATGTCTTCACATCGTGTTTTGAAGATTTCCAGACAGGCTTATTAGGTCAACTGAATCAACTCTCCTTGTGTTAGTCAAATACAATTGATATTTGTCCATGTATCGAATTGCCATTTATAGGCCTATTCTAAACAGAACTCGATTCTCTATGTGGTAGGCCTGTTGTTAAGTTCGCACGATCAAATCAAATACATTTGTTTGTGTTCCATTCTCCTCAGTCACTCGTTTAAATGCTGTGTCCTACTTTTGCAGCACAATTACACACGCTCCGCAGTGTTCGTATCATAGAAATGTACGTTAGTTTGGTTATTTTTTATTTTCGCACCAAATGTTTGTATTGCCATTTCATGCTTGGCCCAGCTAACAGTCTGACTCCTGCTTGTCTTGTGTTGCTGCCATCGTCCAATATTGATTTTTATTTTTTTTTACCACAAACTAACCTTCCCAGTACGTTGCAGGGATGTTTTTGTGACAACTAAAAAGGAACCTATACGGAATGTTCCCTACAGGTTATTCTTATAAACAGCAACGAATGTTACCAGAACGTTCTGGGAACCAAAAATGGTTAGCTGGGAGGTTCAAAAAACCCTGAAATTCTAGGCATATTTGTTTTTAAGTAGTTCTTTAAATCATTTGAAATATAGAAAAATGGTTTAATGTTATATTTGCAGTCCATTGGTCTTGGCGTGGAGTCCCTCATGTTCTCATCATGAATGTTGTTGAGCCGTATGAACCCATCCAGCACCACTGGTTCTTCAACCAGCAGGTGGACTCCAAAGACTCCTGGCAACCCTTCAGCAGAGAAGACTCTCAGCGGCTGGAGGATGCTTACAGTCGAGGTCCTCCACTGACTTCTTCTTAACAAAACCTTAAAACCATTGGTTGCTATTGCTGAAAGTATAGTTTATTAGATCATGGCACATGTTTGAATGTTTAACCATTATATCTGATTTGTCTGCAGTGGGGAAATGTGAAAAGGATGAAGTGGTAGTGGTTACAAATGGAAGAAGGTATGACGTCAGGCTACGTGAAAGGAAGCGTTACTCCGTGTATTGGGAACAGAAGCCCGCCGAGGTCAGACGCTGCTCCTGGTTCCACAAAGGCAGCAAAGACATGAACTACACTCCCTACAGTGAAGAACTCAGTGATCTCCTAGAGGTGAGACACAGATTTTCTAGAACAAATCAAAATTTTCCAGTTTTTAATGCTTAATCGTTTCTCTTTATTCAAAAACAGGACGCCTATATGATTGCAATGACCCTGGACGAATGGAAGACGAATTTGGAGCTCCCAACAGGAGAAACTGTGATCTTTCACAATCCCAAGGTATTGTCTGAATGTAAAACTAATGGTAAACGGACACTTCTCTGTTCACAATTTACGTTTTGTCTTTCTCGTTGCATTACCTCAGCTCATGACGCAGTATCCCAGCAGCTGCAAAGAATTTCCCCCTTCCCCGAATGAACAGACTCAATCCAGGACACTAAAGAGAGGAACTGAGAATATTCCAGTAGAGATACCAGAGGGTGAGTGTAACATTATCAAAATCTATTTAAAATCCCAGTGACTTGCCATTTTATGTCATCGTATAGGCATATTTCTGTTTCTGAAAAGTGAAATACCTCGTTTTGGCCAGTAGTTCTAAAGCAGAAATACTATATCCTTCATGTAGGCAGTCCCAGAACGCATTGTGACAAGCTCATCCACGATGGCAAGTTGAGAGAAATGTTGATAACAGAGATACCCATTTCATTCGATACTTAAAAGATCTAAATAAAAAAATGTCGATCTAACTAATGGAATCTTCTTGCCCAATATTTCTCTGTGCTTTGTATTTTTCTTTGAAGTATCAGACAGTTAGCTTTTAAACATGCTAATACCCAACCCTCTTGGACTGTTTTACCCATTATGTTTATGCTGTGTATTTTTGAAGTATCATACTGTAAGCTTAGCAACATGCAAATGTAGTTTTATGCTTGATAAAGTATCATACAGTTAGTAGACGGCAGGGAAGCTCACTACATTTTTGTGGGTTATAGTGTGTTGCTAACAAGATCTGTCTTTTGTTGCTGTGTTTTTCTAGGAGAACCAGAGATAGTAGACCACCTGGTGTTCATGGTTCACGGTATCGGTCCGGCCTGTGACATACGTTTCCGTGGCATTGTCCAGTGTGGTGAGCCTTTATCATCTTTAACTGAATACATGCACTTCTTCAGTATGTTTGATTGTTTCGCGACTGTCAAGCTGTTAGCAAGCAATGTTTATGACACGTAAGACTTTATTGTACCATTTTCTTTAAAGGAGTATTCTGACATTTATTTTTCTTCATTCTCTGCTGCAGTGAATGAATTTCGAAGCGCCTCCGACAGCCTCATAAAGAGCCACTTCAGGCAGAGTGAGGACTCGTGCATTATTGGAAGGGTTGAGTACCTTCCAGTCAACTGGCACAAAGTCTTGCATGGAGAAACTACAGGAGTTGACAAGTAAGACGCTTGACTCTTATTGTATTCTGGTCATTCCGTGTCAACTCAACCAGAGGCCCCCGGCTCAAATTTTGGATTTTGTTCTTTTTATTTTTTTCTGGTGGAAAAAAAAATACAGAAATGATCTCTGGGAAAAAGCAAATATTTATAGCACTCAGACAGGTATGTTCTATGCAAATGTTTTGATAGAATGAAACAAGATACATTTCTAGTTTCAACATTATTTGTTCTTCAGACATTCCTCTTTACAAGAAAAGTATCATCCGTATGCAAAGTGACCCACATTTGGTTTTTGACCACTGAAAATACACAGTACAATTTACTCTTGGGGCCATATTGAGATTCCAAATCTGCTTTCCAAATCTTCATTGCAAAAAAATGAAGATGCCAAAAGGAAAGTTTAAGACCCAGTGTCTAAAAGGGCATATCTTGAGTTACAGTGATAGAGAATAAACTTGAAAATTGCTTTTTCCCATTTTTGAACTGTCACCATTAGTATATAATGCATCAAAGATTGCTGAAGTCAACAGATTTTACTAACAAACCTACCAATCTCTGTGTAAAAATAACATTATGATGCTGCCATCTTTCCGAAGTCATGTTTACCCTGTAATTTGGCTCTGAATCTCAGGTGAAAATTGACAGTTTGACTCCTCTCTACAAAACAATGTTTTACTCCTTAAATATACATCCATGACATTTAATATTTTGGCTTTCATCACTATACATGTTTGTCATTTTCTTCAGAAAAAGTATCGACACACACATTTATTTTACCGTTTTATTTCTATTTCTAATAGAGACATTGAGAGAATCACTCTGCCTAGCATTAACCGCCTGCGTCAGTTCAGCAACGACACAGTGCTGGACCTTTTCTTCTACAACAGCGCTACGTACTGCCAGACTATTGTGGATACAGTGGCCTCTGAGATCAACCGTTTGCACAGCCTCTTCCTCCAGAGACATCCACACTTCACAGGACACGTTTCCCTGGTTGGACACAGCCTTGGTACAAAGTGCAAACTGTGCTTTTCAGAACAGAACGTTTTGGTTTGGTGATATAATAATAACCTGTACTTAGGGACGGTGCAGATGTTGTATGTCAGTTATAACAATGTTATAATAATGTGTCATGTTTTACACAGGCTCATTGATCTTGTTTGATCTCCTGACCAATCAAGAGACTGATGCAGATGGCACACCGCATGAGGTTTGTACCGGTTTGGTAGTTGAAATAAAGCTGAAATAAAATAAAAATATAAATATCACATGGTAATATTACAAGTTGAAGTACAATGTTTACTTAAACTCAAATTTAAATAAAAAAATTAATTAACACTATATAGAAATGTAAAAAAAAATAATTGCGACACAAAGATAAATTAATTAAATTAAAATGAAAATTGGAAATATAAAACTAAGCTAATTCACACTATTAATAAATGCTATATTAGTACATAAACAATACTAAAATAACATTGGTTTGCACAGAAACTATCTTTGTCATAATATATAATCAAATAATTATTTAGTAATAAACATGAATGCATCACTGTGAATGGTTATTGTCTAAAATACTACAGTATGCTTTGAGAATCATAACAATCTCAAAACAAAGTGTCTCGACATTAATTTTAATGTCACTGATAAATCATAGCTAAAATGTCCCTGCATGACATTTTGACTTGTCTAATAACTAATATGAAAGATTGTTTTATTATTATTAGAGATTTTTAGATAATTTATTTTATTTTTTAGTATTTAAAAAAATTTTTTATAAATCAATTATTTGCTTTCCAACATGTATAGTAAATTTCAGCTTTTGCACCTTGTGCTTTAGATTTTAAAGATCATAATTTATGAAGAATGTATTTTTGTGGTCTGCACAGCTCCGTGAGGACGTTCATGTAGACACAGGCTGCGGTTCCTATGAGAGTCTGGAGGAGGCGCTGAAGGGCCATGGGTTAGAGGAGCACCTCAATATTCTGCACAGAGAACAAATGGATATGGAGTCCTTGGTCAGTTGTAGTTGTTTTTTTTTGTCCTGAATCACAAATGACACGCACGCACAACACTCCAATTGTTCATTTTCACCCTTCTTATTCCAATTAAACGGTTTCAGATGCTTTGCTCAGAGAAGGACCTAAAAGATATCGGAATACCTCTGGGTCCTCGCAAGAAAGTTATGAACTGTGTAAAGAAATGGAAGGTAATTCCTGAAATTCTTTATAGCCCTGTGTTTATAGGAGCTCAGTGGCTCATGGCAGAAATGGAAAGGTTTGCAATGTAGCTTTAATTGTGCGCAGTTTCCTCTCCACACCCAAAAATGGAAGCGAAGACCGATAAGAGTCCATTGTTTTAGATTGGAATGTCTGTTTTGACACTTTCTAGTAACTACTTCTTGAATATCCAACAGCACTCTAGATCTGGAAGTGGACATGCAGCCCAAAATGAGACCCATTCCCCAAGTCTAGGGATGAGAAATGAACATCACACCCCCACCACTAGTGCGGTTGATTATCAGCATTTTGATGTTGGCATTGGACAAGTAAGTTATTTATATAAGTATAGATATTTAAGCAGCACAACTGTTTCCAACATAAATGTTAAATCAGCATATTAGAATGATTTCTAAAGTATCATGTGACACTGAAGACTGGTGTAATGGCTGATGACAATTCAGCTTTGCATCACAGGACTAAAATATATTTTCACAATATTACTCTTATTTTTTCTGACATTAAAAATCTTACTGATTCCAAATTGGAATGATTAGAATACACCGTTACAGACAAACCTGATAATAAATAAATATGGAGTGAGAAGTATTTATTTATGCTTCATTGTATTTTTAATACATTAACTATATCATATATAAAAATATTTGTTTTATATATTTTTTTCTGTATGTTCTTCCAAGTTTGGGCTGCTATTTTCTGTTGAATCTCCATTGATAATACAAATTCAATGTCTTTCACTGTTTAAATGACAGTTGCCAAATAACAGCGTCTTTATTCCGCAGGTATCCATCGATTATCCTCAGTTAGCCTTTCATCCGCAGGCCTTCTTTGCCATGGGTTCACCCATAGGAATGTTTTTAACCGTCAGAGGTCTGAAGAGGATAGATCCTAATTACAGCTTCCCAACCTGCAAGAGTTTCTACAACATCTTCCATCCAGTAAGACCACTCTACAAAACACTGAGAACCATACACCTTCCTTAGAGCTCTGTTCTTACACCTCGAATGTGATCTGTGCAGTTTGACCCAGTGGCGTATCGAATTGAGCCCATAATTTTGTCTCAAGACATGGACTTGCCTCCCATGTTGATACCCCATCATAAAGGCAGAAAAAGGATGCACCTCGGTATGTCAAGTGACTTTATAAACCAAGAGTTTTTCTATTCTAAAATTCCTAAAAGTAACTGAATGAAATGTCTTGATGCTTACAGAACTCAAAGAAGGTTTGACTCGGGTCAGTTCTGATCTACTGGGATCACTACGAATGGTTTGGCAGAGCATTTCTCAGGTCCCAACGCCAGCGCTCGCAGAGGGTGGAATCAGTTCCATGACCCCTACAGATGAAGCAGAAGGTATCTAATGAAACTTTTCTTGATTCAGATATTTATAAAATCCACCGCGCATTTCGAATGTCCCTCCTTAAATTTGAATATTTGTGGTGCAGTGTCACCAATGGAGCAGGAGGAAAGTAACTTCACCAAGGTGGGGACGTTGAATCGTGGGCGACGTATTGACTTTGTCCTTCAGGAGACACCGATTGAAAGTTTCAATGAATACCTGTTTGCCATACAAAGCCATTTGTGCTACTGGTAAGAGAAAATCTTTCATGACACTGGTTATGGTGTATTGTTTATATGCTCTGAAATCTATCATTCTTTCTGTTTCGTTTGCAGGGAGTCCGAAGATACTGCTCTGTTGGTTCTGAGAGAGATTTATGGAAATATCCAAGTGAGAAACGCTCATTTATGAATGCTATATACCTTTTGTGCTGTACAACTACCTTTAAAGCCAGTCCACAGTGAGTTGGTTCGCTCCTCACATTTTAACCAGCCAATAAACTACCTAAAAAGAATTTGAAATTGGAATCCCAATTGAACTATTGCCAGGTATTGGGATATTGTTCTTAAGGCAGGATTACGGACATTTAATACACACAATAACCTTTTGTGCAATAATGTGCACTGTTATAGAAACTTGCATTTAGTGTGTAGCCTACAATTTTGGTCGGTGTTTTCTAATTTTTAATTAATTTATATGATGTATTTATAATGTTTGGATATTTGTGATGTCTTTTTAATTATATTATTAAACTCCTAACCCCAAATTATTTTTTGTGATGCCTGTATCTAAATTCGACTTGGTTGTTAGACATTCTTTAGATACCAACACTGTGTCTTTAAGGCAGAATTCAGATCATAGCCACTGGGAAGTTCGTTCGTTTCCCATTTATCCGTCTGGAATAGTGCGCCACACATAACAAAACATCCCCTTTCCATACAGAGTCATGAACTGCCCTCCTTCCTCCGCCAAGAATTCCACACACAGCCAATGAACACAACAGCAGTACGCCGTCAGGGTTTACGAGACTTTCATTCCGTCTTTTTAAACCAAAGACGTTCCGCTACCTGAGGATATGCAAACTTATTTATTAAGACTTGGAATAAAAGAAGTTTGCATAAAGATGCCCAGCCTTTGAAAAAAAAAAAAAAAAAGGTGAGGAAACTCTCTTATCCAACAAGAATGTTACAGAAATGTTTTTCTTACCTGCTTGGAGGGAATTCAAACTTGAAGCCGGTGATGTTATGTGTCATACTCGCGCTGCTCACGAGGCAGAATCGTTCGCCTGTCAGAAGTTTAACATTTGCTCTCAGTTGAAACATTCATCAGTTTCTTATTAATATTCCGTTAAATCAAATGGAAATTTAATTCGTTCTTCTTAGAATGTTCGATTTTCAATATTCGAACGCCTCGTTCTTTTTAATCTTTCAACGAGTCAGTCTAACGCTTTTTAACAAAACGATTTCTTTACGAATGGGACCGAACGGTTCTCGAGTCAATAAGCCTGTTTCTGAACTGTCAGACTTTGTTTCTGTCATTATATTAAAGTTCTTTCATCAGTGGAACACAAACGGAGAAATGTAGACGAATGTTAGAGACTCTCAGCCTCAGTCAGCCTTCACTGTCATTACAGAAAAAGATGTTATTCAAATGAACGTGACTGAGGAAAAACGCATGAAGGTTTGGAACAACATGACGGCAAATAATGACAGGGTTTTTTTCATGTTTATAATAGCCTATTTATAACACTATTGAAATGAGATTAATACTGTATGTATCTCTTGAGGGTTTTCACAGGGTGAGTCACTTCATTTAACTTTATTCTTTAATATTTATATTTATCACGTTTATTCTTAATTCTTGTTTCTCATATATCCACTGTGTTTCTTGCTGGGAATTTGACTTCAGAATGCTTTACTACTTCCATGGGAACATATTTGTTTTCCTAACCTATCCATGTCTTTTAGGCTTAACTCAGTTTACCCTTTTTGAATCTAATCCAAACTTGGTCATAATGTTGTGTCCCAAAAAGGGTGCTGTTGTTTTCACAATTATGCCATTTGGTCCCCTCACTCAAATGTAAAAAGCTAGTTAGTGGGACTTAACCTGCATCAGTGCACAATTTTTATAATCCTGCTTTAGTTGAAGTCCTGCGTTCCTTTCATAGTCACATGGTTTACCAGTTCATGGAAATGTAAATACCCGCATCATCTTTAAATCAGAGAAGGAAACTTTATCTAGGATATGCTGAAGAAAATGAAGAGCTGAACGGACTCATTACATGATTAGTCACGTGTGTTAACCACTTGGGGAAAAAAAGACCTCTGCATTGAAATCAGTAGTGTAATTGTGTCACTGATGCAAAGGTCAGTTCACTCTCTAGACTCGTACAAAGAAAGTCATACAAGTCCCCAAGCTGCCCACGTTCAAAAAGCTTAAATAAGAGACCCTCCCATTTTATAAAGACTCACTGTTTTTCTGCAGTGCTGAAGCATCGAATCAAGAAACTAGGATGTGAAAATCCAAATTTAACAAAAATATATAGGCTAATATTAAATGCCTGTCGTATGATTCTGTCAGAAAAAAAACTTTCATGTGTTCAATTGGAATGGATTTGAATAAATTTAACATTACATCACTTGCTCTGCAGTGAATGGTTGCCGTCAGAATAAGAGGTGATTAAAAACATCACAATAATCACACACTTATGGATTTGTTTATTACAAACACACAGCTTTGTGCTGTTGTTTTCACAATTATGCCATTTGGTCCCCTCACTCAAATGTTAAAAGCTAGTTAGTGGGACTTAACCTGCATCAGTGCACAATTTTTATAATCCTGCTTTAGTTGAAGTCCTGCGGTTCCTTTCATAGTCACATGGTTTACCAGTTCATGGAAATGTAAATACCTGCATCATCTTTAAATCAGAGAAGGAAACTTTATCTAGGATATGCTGAAGAAAATGAAGAGCTGAATGGACTCATTACATGATTAGTCACGTGTGTTAACCACTTGGGGAAAAAAAGACCTCTGCATTGAAATCAGTAGTGTAATTGTGTCACTGATGCAAAGGTCAGTTCACTCTCTAGACTCGTACAAAGAAAGTCATACAAGTCCCCAAGCTGCCCACGTTCAAAAAGCTTAAATAAGAGACCCTCCCATTTTATAAAGCCTCACTGTTTTTCTGCAGTGCTGAAGCATCGAATCAAGAAACTAGGATGTGAAAATCCAAATTTAACAAAAATATATAGGCTAATATTAAATGCCTGTCGTATGATTCTGTCAGAAAAAAAACTTTCATGTGTTCAATTGGAATGGATTTGAATAAATTTAACATTACATCACTTGCTCTGCAGTGAATGGTTGCCGTCAGAATAAGAGGTGATTAAAAACATCACAATAATCACACACTTATGGATTTGTTTATTACAAACACACAGCTTTTCACTTCACAAGATGTTAATTGGTGGACTGGAGTAGTGTAGTGTACTTGTGGATTATTGTGATGTTTTTATTAGCTGTTTGGAGTCTCATTCTGACGGCACCCATTCACTGTGGAGGGTCCATTGGTGAGCAAGTGATGTTATGATAAATTTCTCCAGATCTGTTGCAAGGAGGAAACAAACTCATCTACATCTAGGATGACCTGTGGATGAGAATTTTCAGCAAATTTTCATTTTGGGTGAACTATTCCTTTAAGTGACCATCTGGCTTTACATGTGGGTTGCGTCATCTAGGCTCGGTTTTCTCTTTTTTTTCCTAGTGTTTCCTAGTTTCTTGAGGCTGAAGGGTGAGGTCACACCTAAAAACACTCATTGCTTGGAAATGTAGAGTCTTGTGCCCATCAGTTGAGTTACAGTGTTACAGGATGAAACTTTAGTTGTGATCTTGTGAATTTGAAGCGATATCTTTCATGCTCACATACTTGGATCTCGACCCCTACAGTATGCGGTAGACTATGTAACGTCCCTTGTGGAAGGAGGATGTGGAAAGATGTTAAGTCAACAAAGGGAAGTTTCCCAGCCTGAGATTGCTCATGGTTCCGTGCCTCCGAAAAGAGCGTAAATACATCTGAGACCCGACTGAAGAGAATTGGTCATGTTCCTGACCTCTAGTTCTGCTTGTTGCATGGCAACTATGTAAACACAGATAAGCACATGCTGAGTCTTATATTTGGATTCTCTTCAGCTTTATAGGGTTGTTTGGTTCTTATTTTCAGAATAACTTTATTAAGCTGTTGTCTTTATGTGGTTATTTGGGGTCCACTCAGCGAAGCAAAATACATTGACATTTTTTTCCAAGTATGTTTCATGTCTACCAGCCTCCTCTGCTTTGAAGGACTCTCTACAATGAGCTTTTCTTCACGAGTTGTTTTCTGGTTTCATACGCTCAACTATTTGCCTATTTGCTCGACCACACCACAAGAGGGCAGACTTTCCATCCATCCATCCATCCATCCATCTCCACTTTTTTTTTAATTTACCTTGCATCCATCCATCCATCCATCCGAATTCACTTTTTTTTTATTTACCTTGCATCCATCCATAATTTTTACAGAATTCACTTTTTTTAAAATTTACCTTGCATCCATCCATCATTTTTACAGAATTCACTTTTTTTTTTATATTTTCCTTGCATCCATCCATTATTTT